AAAACCGTTTCTAACCGATGGCCAAAGGGTCATAGGGCCAAACATAATTTATTATTTGAATTTAAAAACTACAACAACTTAAATTTAAAAACTACAACTTAAATTTAAAAACTACATTAACTTAAATTTAAAAACTACAACAACTTAAATTTAATATCCATAATCAACATCATCTTTATCATCCGCCATTGTAGGAGTATAGTCAAAGGTAAACAATTGTCGCTGGGTCATAATATCTTCTTTTTTTTTTCTATCAAAATAGGCATTACTCATTGGAGTGTAATTCGAAGTGTTCCTTTCTATTTTCTTATCATCCATCTATTCTTGTATTTGTTTGGCAATGGCATTTTGCTCCGCTATTAATCGCAATGTGGCCGCCACTTCCTGTTGAGCTGCGTAATCATCATTTGCCTTACTCTTTTCCTTCAACCTTCGGGCCTTGTTTCGTCCCATAGCCCTAGGTATGGAACCTTCACCCGAAGACGGATTTTCTGTCCTTATTTGTTGAATGGTTGGAGATCCATCTTCATCCATATCTATAGATGAGGATGTAGTTCCGAACACCGGCGTAGTACTTGCTTTATGTTGAGGTGGAACTTCAAATAACACTCACCCTTTACAAATTTCCCAACAACTGTAAAACTGAAAGGGTTTCGAGTTGCTGTCCATATACAATTCCTCCGCTTGGCGTAGCTAGAAAATATAATTACAAAAATTAAAAGAAATTAATTTATGAAATTAAATATTTAAAATAAATTGTGAAAACATTTACTTCGTCGTAGTAATTAGCGCCGCTTTCATGTATACTTGCGGCTGCTAACAGTGCTTGATGCTATTTGTTCAAACTTGGCTGAAGATGTTTCTTCCATATTAAAGAACAACTCTTGTGGTTTCGGATATTCGGTGGAATGGTGTCTTCGTAGAACTCTATGTATTTTTTGGACACACGAGTCCAAACACCTTCACTTGTTTGAGAACTTCCCATCACACTATCTTCTGACACCCATCTATAAGCCATGCAAAAAGCTTCATCTTCTTTTCAGGTCCAAGCCCTACCTTTCATTGCAGACGAGGTCATTTGAAAATTATTGAAAAAAATGAAGGAAATAGTTTTGGAAAAGGTAAGAAAATATGAGAATTGAAATGGTGTAGGAATGGTGAAAATTTTGTGAGGAATGATTTAGGTATTTAGGCCATCTCTAACTGATGGCTGGCCAGAGGGCTTGTTTTAGCCCTCTGGCCCTCTAAGATCATCCAAGATATTAATATTTTAATGAACATTACATGGTCATATTTGCATCCGTCTCCAACCGAGGGCCAAAGGGCCAGAGGGCTCGTTTTAGCCCTGTCACAAAAAATCGTCTCCAACCGAAGGCCAAAGGGTCATAGGGCCAAACATAATTTATTATTTAAAAACTACAACTTAAATGTTGTTTAAGTTTCATGTTGTTAAATGTTTTTTTCATGTTGTATAATTTTTATATTGGTTAGTGTTATTTAATGTTGTTTCATATTGTTTAATGTTGTTTCATGTTACTTAATTTTATTTAATTTGTAATTTTGTAATTTAGGAATAAAGGAAGTTAAATATAGGAAAAAAATATAATTAAAAAATACGAAACAAATTTTGTGAAAAAATAAAAGAAATTTTAAAATGAAAATAAAATTGAAACAATTTTGTGAAATAGAAGTTATAGGAAAAAAAATGGAATTTAAAATAAAAAAAAATATGAAACAAATTTTGTAAAAAATAAAAGTTATAGGAAAAAAATATATATGAAAAATATAAGTTATAGGAAAAATTTTGTAAATAAAAAATAATAATAAAATTGTAAAAAAAAAAAAATCAAAGCATTCATATCGGTTATATCGACATGAATACATTCATATTATTCAGTATAAATGTATTACTGTCGGTTATAACCGACAGGAAATCCGACAAATTTAAAAAAAATATGGCTAGCCTGGGGCTAGCTGGAAGTGGTCAGCCCTCTGGCCATTCAACCCTCTCCGATTATGTGGGGCCCTTTCAGATTCCACAGCCCTCTGGCCTGGCCATCGGTTAGAGACGGTTTTCGGGCTATTTTCAACCCTCTGACTTTTTAGACCCTTCGATTGGAGATGGCCTTATAGGGCTTGTTTTAGCCATCTAGCCCTTTAAGATATTAATATTTTAGGCCATTTCCAACTGAGGGCTGGCCAGATGACTCGTTTTAGCCATCGGACCCTCCAAGATATTAATATTTTAATGAACAGTACAATGCCATATTTGCCTTTATCTCCAACTGAGAGCCAAATGGCCATAGGGCTCGTTTTAGCCCTGTCACAAAAAAAGGGTCTCCCACCGAAGGCCAAAGGGCCAAACATAATTTGTTATTTGATTTTAAAAACTACAACAACTTAAATTTAAAAAGGGTGAAAATTATGTGAGAAATAATGTAGGAATGGCTTATGTATTTATAGGAAAAAAAAGGGAATTTTTTAAATTCATTAAAAAACAATTTGGCCAAAAAAAACAAATTTGAATCCAACGGTAACTAGCTTTTGGAATCAAAATTTTCCCTTCTATTTGTGTCGGTTATAACCAACACTATTTCTTAACCGACAGAAATAACAAAAATGCTTGCCAGCCCCAGGCTGGCTGGATGGTTGCATGTGGCCAGCCCTTTGGCCCTTTCAGATTCCGTGGGGCCTACGAGCCCTCTGGCCTAGCCTTCGGTTTGAGACAATTTTCGGGCTATTTTCGGCCCTTTGGCCCTCTTAACTCTTCGGTTGGAGATGGCCTTAATGAATAGAATAGGGCCATATTTGCCTCCGTCTCCAATCGAGATCCAAAGGGCCATAGGTCTAGTTTTAACCCTGTCATAAAAAACCGTCTCCAACCGAGGCTCAAAGGGCCATAGGTCCAAACATAATTTATTATTTAAAAACTACAACTTAAATTTAAAAACGACAAATTAAATTTAAAAATTACAAATTAAATTTAAAAACTACAAATTAAATTTAAAAACAACATTAACTTAAATTTAAAAACAACATTAACTTAAATTGAAAAACTATAACAACTTAAATTTAATATCCATAATCAACATCATTTTCATCATCCGCCATTGTAGGAGTATAGTCAGAGGTAAACAATTGCCGCCGAGTCATAATTTCTTTTTTTTTTCCTATCAAAATAGGCCTTACTCTATCTTTTGGATACATGAGTCCAAACACCGTCATTTGTTTGACAATTCCCCCTCACACTATCTTCCGACACCCATTTATAAACTTTGCAAAGAGTTTTATCTTCTTTTCGGCTCCAAGCCCTACCTTTCATTGCAAACGAGGCCATTTGAAAATTATTGAAAAAATTGAAGGATAAAGTTTTTAAAGAGGAAAGAAAATATGAGAATTGAAATGGTGTAGGAATGGTGAAAATTTTGTGAGGACTGGTGAATGAATGATTTAGGTATTTATAGGGAAAAAAATTAGAATTTTTAAGAATAAAAAAAAATTGGCCCAAAAAACCAAAAAAAAAAGAAGAAGAAGAAATTAGGTTCACATCCTTCTTTTTGTTACTCCATTGATTAAAATCCTATTCATTTTCAATTTTTGATCAAGGTCCTTGGGTATTAATAACATCATTAATTATTTAAATAATAAAATATTTTTATTTTTAAATATATTCCTTTAGTGTTCAAAATGTTAAAATTAGTATATTTATATTTATGGCTAAATTTTTTATCATATATTTTTATTTTTAGTTTGTACCTATTTTTAATTTGTACCAATTTTCTTTCATTTTTAATTTGTACCCATATATTAATTTCTTTTTGTGCCCATATTTTTTAAAGTTTTATTTGTATTTGTACTCATGTGTACACCGTTACGTGACAGTGTATATTTAATCAATGATGAAAAAAATTACATATGGTATATTTATGTTTTATGCCTAAACTTTGTATCATATATTTATATTTTTAGTTTGTATCCACTTTAATTTGCAGCATTTTTTTTTTTAAATTTGTAGTATTTTCTTTTCAGTTTTATTTTATACCCATGTATTAATTTCTTTTAGCGCCTATATAAAAATTCATGTGTACTCATAATTTTTTAATCTTTTATTTGTACCCTAATTTATTTATAATGTACACATTCTTCTTTATTAATGTACCACTTTGTTATATGTGAAATGTACCAATTTTTTTGTAAAACGTACCATTTTTTTAACACTATGGATACATTCTTTTGTCATTTATTATTTCCTATTTTTACGTAGTTTTTATCTATTTATTCAATCAAAATGTTCACATTTTTTTTATTGTAACCATTTCTAATAGTATTATAATGAGGGATTTTAAATTTATAGGATTATAAATCTCATAAAATATCAAACAATTAATGTCAAAACTATAAAAATATAAATATTAATTGTAATATAATGAGGTGTACAAAGTCAAGGGACTTTGATCAAACTTTGAATACCATTAAGGTTTTAGTCAAAGAATGTTAAGGATTAGGGACCGCATCCAAAGTATCCAAAAAAAAAAAATGAATCCAACGGTAACTGTCTTTAGCTAACCGTTGGATTCAAAATTTTCTTTAAGCAATTTTATTGATTATATCCAACAGGATTGCTTTGATTTTCTAGCCAGCTCGAGCTGGCTGGCTGTATGCGGCTAGCCCTTTTGCCCTTTCAGATTCCGTGGGGCCTACGAGCCCTCTGGCCTAGCCCTCGATTGGAGACGGTTTTCGGGTTATTTTCGACCCTCTAAACCTTTGGACCCTTTGGTTGTAGATGACCTAAGGGGATGAAAAGATGAGGATAGAGAATCCTAATATAGAGGAGGAGTAAGGATGGCCAAATACCCATCGGTTATGGGTAACCGTAGTTATCTGCCCATTTAAATTTAGCGGTTACGGTTATGGGTATAACCGTTTACTTGTAAAATTTAAATAGGCAGTTATGAGTATTAACCATGGTTATAACGGTTACCCGTTTATTTTAATAGATATATAAAATTAAAAAAACAAAAAACCTAATCTGTAATACTGTAACCTATTCGTTCTCTCCGCCAGGAGGCCAGGACTAGACTCTATCCGCCGCTTGTCTCTTTCTCCTTGCTGCTCCCTCTCATCTCCGCCGCTCATCTCTCTCCTCACTTGTCTCTCCTTGCTGCTCCCTCTCATCTCCACCGCTCATCTCTCTCTCCTCGATGCCCTCTCTCTCTCATCGTTGCTCATCTCTCTCTCATCGTTGCTCGGCTCCCTCCCCTTGTTGCTCATCTTAATGCCCCATCTCGATCTCCCCCCACCCACCCTTCAAGGTGTGTTTTACACTTTAAAATTATTACTTAACCTGATTAATTACTTATTTGTTTGTTAATTTATTGAAAATCTCTTATTTTTAGGGTTTAGTGTTGCAGGGTATTTTTTTATTCTTTTGATTGAAAATTAGGGAAGTCATATTACTGATTGAAAATCATATTCCAATTAAAATTAGGGAAGACTGAAGACTGAATATTCTGATTGAAAATATTGTGTAGACTAAAGTCTAATTTTTAGAGATTTTTTTTTATTCAGTGATTTTTTTGTTGCATAAACTGAATAATCAGTAATTTTGATTTTCAATTAAAATTAGGGAAGTTGTGGAAGAAGTCTGAATTCATATTTTTAGATGTTCTAACTATTTCTAACTAATGGGTTTCTTTTCTTTCTCCTGATAGTATTGTCCTGTTTTTTTACATGTTTTGTATACACTTATGTAGTCGTGGAAGTTAGTCCTTTATATCCTAGAAAAGTTTGAATTCATGTTCTGCTTGTAAAACTAGGTTGATATTTGTAAAAACTAGTTTGAATTCACAATGGATACAAATGTTCTGCTTCATATTTTAGAATTAAGCATCACATATATCTATATTTTTACATTTTTAGAACTTTGAAGTTTGAATTCATGTTCTAGGTGCTGCAGATTGCCATAGAAGTATATCTTAGCCAAACGAAAAAAGGTACTAAAATGAAACTTCAATCTTCGTTCACAACTTATATATGATGATAAGTAACTAATTATATGTGATTGAAGAAGTACCTAACTGGGAGTCTTAAACCATGTGATTGAAGAAGTACCTAGCTGGGAGGCAATTAATTCTTGAATGCCCAACAATTCTCATGCTTTGAACCATTTGCTAGTATTCACCTCTCGGTATTTCTGGACTAGGAAATTGGTCCACAGTATATTAAGTTGGCATGCATTCAGACTAGTAACATTCCTTGGAATCTTTCAGGAAAGCTGAAGATTTTAAATTTCTGTTTCTCTTAACGTTGCACTGAGGATTGCTAAATTTTTTGGATGTAGCCTATACCTCTGAGTCCTTGTCTTGCCAAATTTGCATACTTTATGACATGATTGGATGTAGATTGTAGTTATGAGTCATTCTGACTCCGAATGATATATCAAGGGTTCATGTAATCTTTTCTCAAAGTTTTGATGGAGATTAGTAATTTCATTGTAAATTCTCATGTTGTTTTTTATGAATTTTGTTTCATTTCAACTAGTTCCAATATGAAGACTCAAAGTGAGAGCCAAGATAATGAACCAATTAATCTTGATCAAGATTTGGACTGACACGCCCCGATCCTGATATTCTCCGAATACCAAGAAAGGCACGTGCTGGCCGACACCCGAGGGTGACGAAAGCCATTTATTGAGTGCAATTGCTGAAAATAAAGGATAACTAAGACTTATAAATATAAAAGAATAAAGAATAAACATTTAAAGAACGTGTTCAGAGCATACAACTAATTAGAACACTAAAGGAAATAATATAAGATTAGATGAACAAAGGAGTGAGTCCTACAACGAGAGGACTCGAAGATGCCGATGCAAAAGTGTCTTGACGCCGAAATTAGGTGCCTTGATCATAAGTCCTGAATGAGGGCGCAAAACAAAGGTGAGTGGACCAAGTTCATATATACAATAATAATAAATCAGTTATCAAAGTACTAACCCCCATAGTTTATATAATGAAAACTACTAGCATAATAAGTGATGGATTTAATAAAATCCTAGCATGCCAAAATATCTCAAAAGTCATATTGTGGAATAACATCGCGGAAATCAAAACAATAAACGTATCGTAGATCGTCTCGTAAGTGCGGTGTACTGCTAGAAATATCACTGAATAAATATAACTCCCGACCCAATACCTGCTCCGTGGTCTCTGTGCCCATAGCCAGAGATTACTAACTCTCAGCCCAATGTCTGCTCCATTTCCCTCAGCCTGTAGCTAGGGATTATTTCTCCCGACCTAAATGCCAACACCAGATCCTCGCCCCAGGTGGTATAGTGTTTTCTAGGTACGCACAAATAGTTACGCCTCTCATAAATAACCAATTCATAGTATAAAGTCATCCATCGTCTATATTATAAAGAGAGGTTTCTAAAACATGTTCTAGCATCCTATCGTCATCCATCAGATAGTCTACCAGATCATGGTTTTTATAGAAAATACAATATATTAAAATATAGCTCAAAATAGGCTAATAATTAATTCCTCACAAAAAACAAGAGACGAAAATCAATAAATTCAGTAAACAGGCTTAACATAATTTGAATCATAAATTTGTAGGCATGCTAATCATTTATACAATTGAACTATGAAATCATGTAATTTTAGAAGGGGGTCCACTCATAGTACTTCGCCATTGAAAAGCCGCGCAGCTAGCGAATATGCAAAAACCACAATAATTGCCCCTAAGCACAAAAATGGTAATAAATAAATAAAAGGGTTTTCTAAAGAATTTGGCCTTGAATAAAATAAAATAAAGGATTTGGGTTGAATGGTTAAAGCCTAAAGGGTTTAGGGTAATGAGTTTAGGTTAGATGGGTTATAAGGAAAATGGCTTTGGGTTGGATGGGTTTAGGGTTTTGCTACACGGGCCGAAGGCCCTAGTTCTAAATGGCCTAAAAGGCCTGGGTTTTCTAGAATGTGGGTCGCCTGACCCATTCGAAGAAGAAGGCCGGATTCAGCCGGAATTTACACAAAGCTATAACTTTGTCAATACTTAACGAAATCAAGTGATTCAAAAATGAAAGTTGTAGCCTTCGAAGAGATGAAGAGAATGATATCTTGCACGACATCTAACTCGTCGTGGTTTGACCGAAACATGCCTCGAAAGCCGTCGGACTCGCAGAAAACTGTGTAAGATTCAAATGTATATAACTTCTTCAATACTCAACGAAATTGGGTGAAAAAAAAGAAAGTTGTAGTTCTCAGCGAGACGAAGAGATTGATACCTTGCACGCCGATCAAATTACCATGGTTTGGGCGGAAATTGTCTCGAAAGTTGCCAGAGTCGTCGGGGAGACTTGGGTGTTCTCTGGGTGTCCTGGAGCTTCGTCGAGACGAGAGAGAAGAAAGTTCCAGAGGTGATGGTGGTGTCATAGCTAGGTGGTTATGGTGGTAGGTGTGTGTGTGGGTGCTCACAGGAGGATGAGAGGGAGATATATATGAGAATGAGTGCAGAGAGTGAGTGTAGAGAGAGAGATGAAGAAAGAAGAAGGGGTCACGGGGGGGGGGGGAACAAAATCAAGGGGTGGGCCCTTGAGCACACCAATTAAGATCCAAAAACATTTTAAAAGCAAGATAATCTCAAGCTTAGTGAAAATACAATTTAAATTAGGGGTGGGTGTAACATGGACCAAGTTGAATCAAGCTTTGATGATAACTCTGGTAAGAAGAGGAAAAAAAACCTCGGTTGTCTGGCAGCATTTTAAGGAAAAGATGTTTCGTTGGGGGGGTGAAGCTGTTTGTAACCATTGTCAAACTAGTCTAGCATCGAGCTTCACTATTGGTACTTCATCTTTACGTTCACATGTTAATACATGTCCTGTTTTGATGATGACAAAGAAAAAGAGTCCATGTATAACTGGTGATGGGTCTGTTAAACATGGTGTATATAGTTTTGATGAAGATAAGGCTAGGAAAGAGCTAGCCTATATGATTATCTTACAAAGTGCCATAAGTTAAAAACATATCTTTCGAGATGCTAATTCAATTTATACATTTCTTTTGTAGGCCTCTTTTGATGACAACGAGTCGATAAGACGTTGTGATTGAATGTGCTTAAAGCATTAGTCTTCGAAAGTGTTTAGTTTTGAAATATTTTGGAGTTTTGAATCATCTAGGGGTGCGTTTACTAATTTGTAATCAAATTAAGAGGAATTGAATCGATGAGAAATTGGATTAAGGAGGAATTGAAATGAGGTGGAATCAGAATCAGATTCCTGTGGAAGTTGTTTACTAAAATTGTCTAGAATCGGAGTATGAATGATGTTGAGTCCATATAAGTTGTTTACTAATTCACTTGAATCGGAATGAAAACTAGGTTGATTACTATACTGCCCTTATATAAATAAATTATTTTCATACTAATTAATTAAATTAAATTCTTAATTAAATTTATATAATAAAATTCATCTACATAAAAATATATAAATAGGTTTTATTTATTTATTAAAAGATGACATAATTAATGAGTGTCAAATGAAAGGCAATGTTGGGATAATAAGAAACAAATGAGGGTATAATTGGTAGAAGAAATCCATTCCGGATTCCTCAAGTGTCAAAGAATTGAAATACCTCCCTCGTGTAGGGAGTCCAATTTCTCCAAAATTAGGAGTTGGATTTCTTAATGCATGTTGACCCCACATGTATTTTGATTCCCCAAAATTATGTAAACAAAGATGTATCCTGTAATCGGAATCCAATTCTGTAAATTGATTCCGATTACGGGTATGTAAACGTGCCACTAGTATTCAAGATAATGGCTACCTTGAGTTTTTAGAAGCTTTACTTTGTAATCATATGAATGTTATAATTGAATACTTGCTTGGGTATAGAAAAAAACATATGTTGAAAATATATAAATTTTCTTTCCAATATGCTTGCTCAAGTAATGAGAGGTATTTTATTAGTAAAAAATCAATTATTAGCAAATATATAGAAAACTTCATTTTAATCCTTGGCAAAGATGACTTTTTGATTAAAACCATGAGTAAGATCAAAATCTAATTTTAGTCCCTTGATACATTAATAACCTCATTTATTAATTATATTATGATTTTTTAATTATTTATCTTTTTCTTTCTAATTTTTAATGTACTTTATCTTCTTCATTTAGGTATATTAAATTCATTATAATACATTTCGGTGCATACATTTAGGTACACAAATTTCGGTACATACATTTTGATACAAACATTTAGTTACATTAATTCAATATCATAAATTTTCGGTACTAACATTTCAATGCATACATTTCGGTACATACATTTAGGTACATTAATTTAATATTAATACATTTCGGTGCATATATTTAGATACATACATTATGGTACTAACATTTAAATATATTAGTTCAATATAATATATTTCGGTACTAACATTTAGGTACATTAATTGAGTCTTTCAAGTTTGAAGAATGTTAAATAAAATTAATAAATTAAAAAACTCTTTTTTGGTCAAAAAATAAATTAAAATTTGCTTATTAATAAATTTAAATATTTAATGGGAGACATTAAATAAAATGCACATTAATTATTTTGAATTAAGGGCACATTAGGGACTAAAATCAATATTTAATCTAACATCAAGTTTTTTTTTTAAATTTTAATCTTCTTGAGGGATTAAAGTTCAAAAACACTGCAAATATATTATATTACCTTGATTGATTAAAACTATCGTTCGTATTTATTATTTCAATTATTGAAGTTGTATACGGTTACGGTTAAAAAATAATATGTAAATAGGCGCAAAAATGGGTAAATAAGTTAAAAAATGGATAAACGGCATACGATTACGGTTAAATATGTATGGTTAACCGTTTATAAATAATTATGAATATATGTATAACCGTTTAGATAATTATTCAACGGATAAATGATTATACGGGTATAAGTAAAACGGTTATAATAAATAACCGCGGTTATCCGACTGCCATAATTATTGTCTATCCTTAAGAAGGAAGAGTGTTGTTCCTGTTCACTTCAGCTAGTACACTCGCGTAGTAGTAAGGGCAGGAAGTAGAAGAAGAAGAAGATGACGATGAGAATAGGAGGGCCCCGCACTCCACCAAAAGTTCACATGTACCAATCCGACTCCGAGACGAAGAATGATAGTTAAAGGTATAAATTGGCGAGGGTCGGAAGCAGCCTGAAACCCGAGAACTCCTCTCCACTGTCGTCTCCGCCCCTCACAGGGCTGCTCTCTCTCTATCTCACTCAGTCTTCCCACCAAAGACCCCAACCAAACTAAACAAGATTGCGACAACTAATCAAAATCAAATGGCAGAGGGTGAATCCCCGTCGTCCGATTCTCTATCAGATCCATCCCTATCCCGAAACGTTTCCTTCAGTCGCCTCAACGCCCAGGCGGCGGAGTTCATCCCCAATCGCAGCGCCACTGCGCACGCATCCGCACCGGCAGCGCCTCCTGCGGCTGTAGGTCAAGTCC